TCCAGAGAATAAACCAAACGAGATGGTCAATGCAGAGAAGAAGACGTCAAGCTCTCTCCAGCAAGAGATTCTTGCTCATAAGAAGAAAGCAGTTGCCTTTAAGAGAGAAGGGAGGTTGACAGAAGCCAAGGAGGAACTTAGGCAGGCAAAAGCATTAGAGAAGCATTTAGAGGAGGAAACTCCTGATTTTTCTGTTCCCGAGGCTTCCTCATCTTCCGATCCTACCCCTGGGGGATCCAAGCCTTTATCAGGACGTGATAGGTTTAAACTACAGCAAGAGTCTCTCAATCACAAAAGGAATGCATTTAAGCTAAGAAGGGAAGGCCGGGCAGAAGAGGCTGATGCTGAGTTTAAATTAGCTAAGGCTATCGAGTCTCAACTGGAGGAATCTGGACCCGTGTTGTCGGGTCACGGATCCGAACCTATAGACAGCAGCGGGGTCCATGTTGAGGACTTTCTTGACCCTCAGCTGTTGTCTGCGTTGGCGGCCATTGGAATCTCCGATGCTCCAGAAGTTCCAGTAGCTGGCAAGATGATAGACGATGGTGAACCCCAAGGAGATAACTACTCCGGCGAAGAGGAGAAGATGGAGTTGGAAGAGAAGGTTAAGGCAGAAAAACTGAAGGCGTTAAACTTGAAACGTTCTGGAAAGCATGCAGAAGCCCTGGATGCCCTTCGCCGAGCCAAACTCTTTGAAAGGAAGTTAATTTCTTCCAATTCACAACAGTAATGTTATAACTGAAAGTGTTCAAGTGTATAGTATTCTTCCTCCAACTGTGGTGTGAATTTCAGTATAGCAATTTGACATTTTGTGATAAACAAGAATCGTTTCTCTTGAATTTGAACCTCAATTGAATGGTACTATAGGTGGAACCTGGGAACAGGATAGACTCAAATCATGTGAGTTGTGGCTTCCAATAGAATTACAGATAAGCCTAACTAATTTACCGAACAATCCAAGCATACGCATATTGAAAGCTTACTTGACTTTACATAATAGATAGTATATGCCAACCTATTCATGTATTTTTATTTTTATTTTTATTTTTATTTTTATCCTATACAAGTCTTTCCCAACTTACTTATGAGTTATGACTGGTAGGATTGTTTTACTCTATCAATGATGAACGTAATATTTTTTTCTTTCCGAGATATTTATATACTTGTTCGTTTTTGAACATTATTACTAAACTTTGAGGAATACCGAATCCATTTTCAGAAGTACATGAAAGTATACAAAAATAAATCTGAAATATCTAGATATTGGCTTTTCTCCACGCTGTCACGTACCGAGTCCAAACATTGCGGGTAATTCGCCCTGCAAAATAAAGGATCATTTTCAAAAAGAAAAAAATTACTCCCTCCTTTCCATTCAAATTTTCCATTCACTATTTACATGGTTAACTTAAATCATTCTTAATCTTTTGATTTATATATCAATTTTTTTATTTATCAAATTTACATTTTATTTCAAGTAATTGGAGTAAAACTTCCCCTGGGGACCCCTTGGCTTTTCCGGCAATCCGAATGTAGTTAATTAACTGACGTTCTGTAAGACCATAATGAAAACGCAATTTTTGTTTTTCTTCTAGGCGAATACGATATTGAGATTTTTTCACGGAACTTATCAGGCTTTGTAACGGTTTTAATGTAGTTTCTGAATATGTAAATTTTATTTACTAAAAATAATCAGAGTATAAGCAAGGATTAAGTTGGTTTATCCTCATTCAAGCATAGTAAACCGTAATTGGAACCTCCTAAAGGGACGGATGGAGTATTAAACAAAAAGAAAAAGAGGCATACCTTGTGAACAGGCCTAAGAGCTAATCGCCTAATCATGGGCAAGTGTGTTTGCGCTCCCCTAATCCTGGAGTTTATTGACTACCCTCCAAAGCCTCTAGACAGTCAAATCCGGATATTATCACAGTCAGCCTTCATCAGTACTGGTACCACAGGACGAATCCAACAAAACTTCCTTTCAACTGAATCCAGAAAGGTCCTCCTACTATGCAGGGCTTCCTTTCATCTGTATCAAGAAAGGTCCTCCCACCACACGAACTCGCGACCTGAATTTCCATCCACTCCTTTCTAAGTCGCTGTGCAATTCAGTGAAGGTAGGAAGAATCATTTGGAGCAAGACCTCTCTCATCTCCCCTAAATGTGTCTAGCGGGATTTGAACCCGAGACCTTCGCTAGGACACGGTAACCTCCCATCCAGTGAGCTGGAATGGTTGGTTAACAACTTTTCTTTTTTTAGTTCAACTTTTTAGTACCAAGGGGAATTTTACCTATATGAAACAAAGTATTAAATTGGAGGAAGAAAAAGTATTAATAAAACACATACCAAACATGCAAAACACCATTAGTTTAAGAATAAAACACTATTTATTCATATTGTAGGAATCACCATTTCTTTTGATCATACTGTCAATAAGGTTATTTTTACTTGGATTCTAATTCGTTCCAGACCAGACCAGACTAAAACAGACCAGAACAGATTTATTATTATTATTATTATTATTATTATGGAAATTGCATTTTATAAGGATAAGAAAAATTGAAAATTACAAAGAACAAGTAGGGAGCCTAGCAACAAGTTGAGCTCCAACACCTTTTTGAATAGCTAAACCAATCCTATTATTATTATTATTATTAGTGGGCCTTTTTATTTTAATATTACTCCTGAAATACAGATCACCAATAAGGTGATTAGAGATTCAAAAGTCCAGAAATATGACTACTCATCCGTTACAAATGAATGAAAACATAGGTTTTAATTAGAAAGACAATCAATGTGTTTAGATGCTAAAAAGTAGAAAAGAATTTAATGATTGATATGATACTATATTATAGGTTAGTGACATGCGAAAAATTAGGAAGGACGTGGATAAACAATGAAATAATGGTTCAAATATTTGCAATGATTCAAAAGCGTGTGGCAACGTGTCGTAACTAATTAGATGAAATTCAAGTAACTAATCGTACCCCTTTTATTTAATAATAAATTTGTGCAAAATTTGTGACGTCCAAGTAACTAGTAGTAACCCCTTTTAATAATTAATAATAATTTGTGAAAGATTAGGGATGTTCAAGTAACTATGGTACGTACTCCGTTTTAATTAATAAAAATGATTAGTGATCTCCAAGTAATTAATAATCTGTGCAAGTGTGTACTCCTGCCACTGTGAGCGTCACTGTCAGTGACCATGAAAAACTAATTTAAATCTCATAGTAATTATGTAACTCCTTAGCATAACAGTGACTCCCGAAATAGTTACTACCTTACTATCAATTTCCGATAGTGATTACTTAGGCCACCTCGCGACCCTAGCTAGTCACTAGAGCCCGTCACCATAAAAATCAATTAAATTCCCATTAGTAACCATGCTTATGATACTAACTAGATAGTCACTTCATACATTGATAAAATTTCAGTTACCAAAATTGATTGGTTTACATTTCCACGATCAAAACAAACGCTAGCAGAAACATTCAATCCCCAAAGCCAATTTAGTTACTTAATTTGATTATTTCACTAATCATTAGAGAACAAAAAATGTTATCATAAAGGTAAAAGATGGGATCGATGGGGAGTCATTAAAAATCACCAAATCAAGTGAGAAAAAGTGATAGATCGTAAGTTATGTGGTTGTTTGCATCGTTAATGGGTGGGACAGAATTTCAAATGTGATTGTTTGCATCATTAGTGGAGGCAATTGATGAGGATAATCTTTCTCCTTCGTTGTTATCCTATTGTGAGATTCAAGGAGAGGGACAAGCCGTTGAGAAATTTAAGGAATTAAGAAAATCATTTAATCGGTTCTTAATTAGCTTTTGTCACTTTTTTGGAAAATTGAGAAGTAGTCATATTTTTGGAATTGAAAACACTAGTAGTAATATAGGTGCCATTTTTTCTTTTATGATTGTTTGTCTGTTCGTATTTTAAGTGACAGAATAATATAGATGATCTTGATTTGTAAAAAAAAGAAATAAAAATAAATAAATAAAATCTTGAGTTGTAAAAAAAATTGTATGAATAATGGGTAAACTATAAATCTTTTTAGAACCAAAAAAGTACTATAAAATAATAAATATCATCATGCATCCGTTGTTCTGGGTTTCTGAACGTCTTCCCAAATTTGTTTCGCAATTTCCATGGAACATTGTTCATAGCTTCTTTTCGCCCATTGTTGAACATATCTGAATTGTTCATATTATTATTTTTAATTATAAATGAATAAAATATAATTATTTATGGATTATAATATATATATAAAAATAAAATCTTTATGCAAAAAATATAAAAAATAAAATTTCAGACCAGACCAGACCATACTAAAACAGACCAGACCAGACCAAACTAAAACAGATCAGACCAGACCGGGCCAACAAATTATAGTACAAGTAAAAACATCCCGACTTTCTCTAGTAAAAGTCGTCCCTTCAAAATAAAGCATTACATGCTTGATGAGTTGACAAAATAATAATTACAATAAAACAACAATAGTTGTAATCACAGCAATAATAATACGGAATAGTAATTTTAAGGGGAAAATAATTAAAATATCCCAAACTTTGAAGGGGTGTGAGATAAACACCCTGAACTTTCATATATAATTTAAATACCCCAAACTTTATATAAACAGTTATTTTGACATCATGGTTATGTGTAATTTCTTTCAAAAATGTAAATTTATGGTGTTAAATGCATAATTTAAAATAGAAAATTGAAAACATTATAATTATATATAGTGGTGGGTAATACTATTTATTTTACAATGGAAGCTTAGAATGTTAATTGTATCTTAATTTTCATTAATTCGTTATGAATTTAATTTGTACAATACCAAAATTTGACTTGAAATGAAACATATACATGATGATTTATAAATGATTACTATTTAGTCTTCACATAACCACATAAAGTTGATAATCACATAAAGTTGACCATGACTAAAAGTAGGGGTTCTCAACAATAAACGAAAACACGATAAAATTGTTTTTGACTTTTATTTATAGTCACAACATAAAGCAAAATGTGTACATATTTTTCCATCATTTGCAATGGAGCCAAAGATTCATTATTTTTTGGCTTGAGATTATGATGGAATAAAGCAAAATGACTCACTAAACTGACTGCGCTTCTTTGTTATGAAGCAGAAGTTAGTCCATGCAATTTTGGACGGGATTTTCACTATGGGTCATCCGGAAATAGTCTCTCTGTATTTTAGTACAGGGGTAAGACTGCGTACATCCGATCCCTCTTACCCCACCGTAGGTGAGAGCCTTTGCGGCACCCGGGTAAATGAAATGAAATGAAAAATGAATAAAAAAGTGTGCATAGAATAATACATTTATTAAAACTCTATCTAATCATCCCTATGATAACCATGGCCAAGAACGTTGAGGTGGCTCCCCGTCCCACGGGTAATATGGCGGTGGCTCAAAAAATGGAGATTCGTGATGTGAAGAGAATTGAGGTGATGTTTGGTGTTTGTAAATAACTCTCGGACGTTAGAAGTGCTACATGCTTGTCAACACAACTTTTTCAAGGCGGTGTTCCTAAATTTCGTCATAAAATTGCTCCGAATGTGACGGAGGCAATAACGCTTCGACACTTGAGACGATTGCAATTCAGAAACATTTCGAAATGCACTTTCGATTTCGGCATGACGGTCGGAGATTATACAAGCTGGACGATGAGGTCTAACCACGCCTGCCATAACTCTATGCAAAAACCAGGACCAACTATTCGCATTCTCACTATCCACAACACCATAAGCGAGAGGGAATATCTCACGATTGGTGTTCACGGCCACCACAACTAGGAGAACACCCTTATATTTGTCGTACAAGTGTGTTCCGTCAGTGGAGACTACATGCAGACAGTGACGGAAACCGTCAATAGAAGCTTTGAATGACCAGAACGCTCGACAGAATTCACGCATCCCTTCAATTTCAGTCCTTTGAGTTTGGAATTGAACAAGACTCCCCATATTGAAATATCTTATTGCTTTAAACAATTTTGGATTATATGAGGCCTCCCAATTATCGAATCTGCGCTCTAGAGCAATCAAGCGGCCATACAATGCCTTTTTGTATGCAACATGGATTTGGAATTTCTCATAAATGTCATCAATTATGAGTTTTATTGGATAGTCCGGATCCGCTTTCACTTTAGGACCTATCTCAGTTGCTATGAGTTTGTTTGTCAAGATCATGTTATCTGGAGCTATGGTGTAGTCATTAATACATGTGTGGACGGGTTGATATTTTTTCACCTTCCACACGTTTGTGCTCCGTCATTTTCCTGCTTGGATATGCCACATGCATACTTCCGCCGGGTAGATGCACACAACCTTCCAGGTTTGTCATCCGACCCAAAAAATTGGTATTGACGGATGTTTTCTCGGACCACAGCTTCTTTTAACTCATCATAGGAAGTGAATGTCTTGTCGACTGCTATCGTTTCTGAATCACGATTTACAGTCTCCACATATGGTTCATCTATCTCCATAGTTGCCCATGTCATATTGTAACACCCCCAAATTTCTCACCCAAAAACACCTTTAAATAATGATTTATTTGAAAACATCAGTGTTGTGCAGCGGAAAATTCAAAGGGAAACAGGGGCGTTACCACCACACTCGGTTCTCACATAACCGAGTGCACAGGCTATCCACAAGCAATAATTAACCTTTTCCATAATTAATAGTTCAACTACGATTCTTTAAAAATTAAGACTAAAATAAATTACTTAGTCACTTTAGTCTATGTGTTCTAGCGGAAGCTCTCGAAATCAACTTCAACATGATCGTCAATCCTGCACAAATAAGGTACAGAAAGAAAAACACAAAGACACAAAAATTAGCAGAAAATGCTAAGTAAGGCTCACCCAACCCTGTAAAATAATCAGATTTCATACATATATATCATTTTTGTAAAACCTTTGGAAGGAAACCATTTGAAACACTTTATACAAAGTTCTCATCATCTCATAAATCACAAGTAAAATAATAATATTCCAAATATATGTACATATTTTCAAATCATAATAATTCTAAAAAATGCCAATATACACAAACCACCCAAAATTCTCGTAAATATTCCAAAACATAAATCATATGAAAAATTCCAAATATCCATCTCAAAACTCACATAAACACTTTATCAAAATCCTTCCAAAAACTCATAACTAATATTCATCATATTCATATGAAATCAAATCCAAAAGTATTTTACTTTGGAAATCCACAATTAATTTAATAATTTCAACCACCTCAAATTCAATCCGATCCAAACAAAATATAACACACTCAAATAATCCAATATAATATAATTCAATTCACCTCAATCAAGTTCAACCAAATAATCCAAATCACCTCAATTCCAATGAAATTCACCTCAAAGCCTCAAAACCAATTCATCTCAATACCAATGGAATCCAAGTCCAATTAATCCAAATATAATCCAATCATTCAAACTCAATCAAAGCCAATGGAAGCCGAACTCCTACCTTAAGTGTGCACACCCTCTAAAAGAGATTCCAAGCTCTTCGGGTAGTAAAAAGTCCGAGTAGTCGGGATTTTTCTACCGACTACTACAATTAAGCTGGGATGCTCCGCTTTTGGGAGATCCCTGATGGAATTAGACTTATAGTCATTACCACTCATCAAATCCACATTTCTCCGGGTACTCACAAAATCATAATTCAATCTCAAAGTTCAAGTATCATAACCTCAATCAAAATAGATATGAAATCCGAACTCCACAAAATTATTCACAATGAAATTATTAACCAAAATAATTTCAAATCTCAAATAGCTCAAATCTCAAATCTCAAATCCGAACTCATCGTACTCAGATATCGCATAAATAGTCCAAAATATAGGATACTTCATAAATAGCTCAAATCTCAAATCTCAATCCAAGAACAATTCAAATGTAAATTCAAATGCTCAAAATATCACCCAATATAAAATACTTAAATCTCAAATATATATAATTCACAATCACAATTGCTACGTAAAATCTCATTAACTATCGTATACTCAAATGATCTCAAATAACTAGTCACAAATAAATTTATATGGGAAAAACATGAAATTTGGTTGACATAGTATTAAAATTGTGATAATTCTAACCGAAGCTTCTAACTCGATCTTCACCAAATTCACCTTCTAAGAATATTAAAATTCTAGTATTAGTACTACATTCTATTTTTGCCATTCTGTCCCATGTTTTTGCTTTGTTAAATAATCGACTTAATCATTTTTTATCCTTATAATATTATTATCATTGATATTAATCGGTCTGGTCATCTAAATAAACAGCCTAGTCCATATCAATTTCGGCCAGCCTGGTAATTAGATTAATACCCAGCCCACCTATTATCTAGCAACCCAGTCAAGTTTTATTATTTTTTGGACTCGGCCCAGACTATTTAGAATGACAGAGGTCCAGCCCAGAAGTTATTAACATAATACGGAGTAAGGTACACGTACTGAGTTCGTTGTCTTCTCCGGCGCAACCAAGGAGCGGGTGCAGCGGCGAGATCCTCAGGAAGACGGTAAAAGCAGGTGGTTCGATGGACTGGTCTCCTCCGTCGATGGCTCTTCCCCTTCGGTGTCGGCAGTAGGTGGTACCTCCGGCGATTCGTTCTCCGTCGTCAAAGCAGTCCGGCGCAGCAACTGGGTTCTGTTTCCGGCGAGTCCTCCCGCTTCTCCGGCGTCCAGTGGCGTACAGAAAGGATTCTCAGGCTCCCGTAGACTTCCGTTCCTATGGTGATTCGGTACAGGTTCGAACCGCAGATCCGTAGTCACTCCGACGACGAGGTTAAGGTGCTCCAGCGAGCTCTTTTGTTCCCGTCTGGCTCTTCTCCGGCGAAAGAAGTATGGAGGAACTCCTTCCGTGCTCCGGAGGGCCTGCTACTGCACCGGCGAACCTCCCCCTGCTCGTGAAACAAGCTCGGCAAACGTAGCAGTCATCAACGGAGTTCCTCTTCTGCTTTCAAATCGGCGGTGTCGTACGTTCTCTTTGTGACAGAATCGTAGACCGTCTATAGCAGAACGTACAACTAAGCATCGATGGACTTAGTTTGTGCGTGTGAATATAATGCAGATCGATGGATTGTATAATTTGGCTCTAAAGCACATGTATATAGCTTGCCTGGTGTCTCAATACATTTAATTTGGTGTGTACTGCCAAGTTCATTTTGAAATACTCTGTATTAGAGCCGTGAAAATGGGCTGAAACCCGCGGGCTGACCCGTTTAAACCTATTTATTGGTGGGTTAGGGTTGAAAATTTCCGAGCCATTTAGTTCGCGGGTTTCGCAGGACAACCCACGCGGGTTGTGGGTTTAAGTGGGTTGGCCCACCAGGTTGCGGGTTGGCCCGCGGGCCAATATACAAAAATATAGTTTTAAATTTTATTATCTTAAATATTATCCTTTTACTACTGATAACCGCTTTCGCGGCATTGTAGTAAAACGGAGTCTAACCTTTCGATTTTTCCCCGAGTATCGTGTCTCTTGAGGAATGGCGGAGGAGTTTTCTTAATTTTAAGTTCAGTCACAGGTTATCGCAAATTATTGGAAGCTTTCCGAATTAAAACCTTTGATTGATTTTCTAAACTAGTTTTTTTTGAAAAATAAAGTAATTAAATTATGCAAATCTAATGATGGCTCAAAAATAAACTAAATGAAAAATATTAAACTCTAAATGGATTGATCAAAGAAGGGCAATGAATTGAATAATTAGAAATGGATATATTCTTGGACCTAGTAATTAGGGGAATTAAAACAACAATTGGACTAATAATTTATTTTCTCATAGACAAGAATAGAAATTACTTTCATTAATTTATCCTATTTCTAGGTTTCATTTATGCATTCAAAAATGGTTGGCTTGAATTAAATTCTAATCTCATAGACAAGACATAAATAATTCTCCAATATTTTAATTAATAAAAATAGCCAAATTCATTAACTAATTAAACTCATTATTTAAGCAATTTGAATTTATTTCTCATAGACAAGATGTAAATCCCTTTCATTAAAATATCCTATTTCTAGACCTTATTAATGTGCTTGAATAAAGTTGTCTCAAATTATTTTCTAATCTCATAGACAAGTTAGAAATAATTTTCCAAAATTTAATTAATGAAAATGGCTAACAATTATTAATTACTAATTCATCAATTTGAATAACTAGCCCAATTAATTAATTTTAACCTCTAATTTTCGGCTAACAAGTCAATCCATATTCTTTTACTCAATTCATGCCCAAAACAATTTTAGCTACTAAACATTATTTTTGCATTTAACAATATGGTAAATAAATTAACCATTAACAAGGAATTAAACATGTATAATAGCAAAACATTAATCAAAAATAAGATCTTGTCAAAATAAACTTTCTGGAACTACAATATGACTTTTTGGAATTTTTCACGAATTTTTAAACCTAAAATCCAATTTTAACCCTAATTGATAATTTTCCCACTTTTAACTATAAAATACAAAAGGCAATTAAAAATAGGTTAAATTCGTTCTAAATTTTCTATTGACTACTGGAAGTGATATTACAGTGAAATAAACTGGAATTAGGGTCGAAACTATTTTTTTACTCTTTTTAAGTAATTAATTTAATTTATGCAATAATAACAACTAATTACTGAAATTAATTAAAAATTACTTCTGCTTCTGAAAAATTAACTTTCTTCAGATAAATAACAACCTTGAGACTATTAAACAACTATACAATTAATTGGAATGAATTCAACATCAACAACTATTTTATTTAATTTTTGGAAGAAAATGCGAAATACTTGATAAATATTCTGGAAAAATTCGAAGAACAGATCGAGAAAACAAAGCACAGATTCAGATTCTACTCGTTGAGAAGATGAAAATACATATAAAGAACTTACAAATTGGAGCTAAAATGAAAAAGATATGAAAGATTGAAGTTGAAGGTGCAACAATGGTGGAAATCCGAGCTTTGAAGAGAAAGAAGAAGACCTTTTTGAACTAGTTCGGGCTAAGAATGGTGTATTTGAGTTCAGAAAAAATCGGGCTATTTATAGCACCAAAAATTTCGCAGGCCTCCAAACAGGCGGCCGCCTGCCGCCTTGCTCCGGCCGCCTGCCGTCACATCACCGACCGGTTGTTCGTTTCGTCGTCTTGTGCCGCAGGCGGTCATCGAAGGCGGCCGCCTTCCGTCCAGTGTCGGCCGCCTTCCGTTTTTCTCCGGTTCGGTCAAATTTCAAAAAAAATTGATTTTTCAAAAAAAACGGCAGGCGGCCGCGCAGGCCTCCATTTTTTGGCCGCCTGCCAGGCCGCCTATGAGTTTATTTGACCATCTTGTTCTGTATTTTGTGCTCTTCAACTTTCCCTTCTGGACCACTTTGAAATTCTGCTTGCTTCTTTCGGTATGATATCATTTTTCACTCAAATTGACGCATTTTGTGCTTAATTGACCCGAAATTTCGTCAAACATATCATGGACGTGATTTTTACCTGATTTCATGAAACTTGAACCAAAATATATAAAACATGCCTTGTTTTTCTATTTTCCAATCCAAAATCACTTAAAATTGATAAGAAAAATAAGTACAAAAATGGACTTATCAATCTCCTCACACTTAAGCGTTGCTTGTCCCCAAGCGACGAATCAGTTGCAAACACACTCAGAAAGGTAAAAACTTATTGTATTACAATCGAGTTGCTATTACAGAAATAGAAACAAAAACCCCTTATTTTATTTTCAATTTTTAAACAGTTTAGAAAAATCACCCAAAATACAAGAATTTATAATTATTATTACTGAATAAAAAAAACTACTGATTATGTTAAACCACCAATCAATTCTTTATCCCAAGGTTTTCATTATTCTAAATTGGACATTTATCTTATTCACAAATTATGTTTTTTTTTGCCTCTTGTCCACTCTTGTTGGCGGTGTTATCCCATGGTAGATGCATATTTCATTCTCACAGACTATGATTAACGAATGAAACAGAGCCCCTTTTCGGAGATGGAATTGTCCTTTAACAATGAGTTTTGAAGAGATTTATTAATACTAGTATTTTTTTATGAATAAAATGAATGTCCTATTAAAACAAAATTAGCCCTTTACATTATATTCACAACCAAAACCCATAACAATTTCAAGTTTTCTAAAAATAATAATAAAAGTAAATTCTTATAATAAGGATGATCCTCTAAGCTATTATGTGATTGATAAAAAAAATTGAGAATTTAATGTTTCATATCAAAAATAGTAAAAAGATTGTTCTAAAACAAGGTTTTAACTTTTAAGTCTAAAACGCAACCTCCTCACACTTGAGCTGGACCTCGCCCTCGAGGTCTCTTTTTATTGCACAAAGTTTTGAAATCAAGGCACTCTTTTTTTTTTTGGGTTCTTTCCTCACACTTGAGTTTTGAAAAGATTTTGTGAAGAGGAATGATGAAATCGGGAATAAAATTGTTTTAAAAAAATATCCTTACATCATCCATCATCAGTTTTTTTTCGAAATCGGGTCAAAGCGCTCAACTCACAATTTATTTATTGAAGCCCAATTTGCAGTCACACAAAACAAACAAACAAAGTTATGAAAAAAATGGGTTGCCTCCCAAGAAGCGCTTCTTTAACGTCACTAGCTTGACGTTTGAGAGAGAACTCTCTGTAATGCCAATCAGTCGTGGAGCACTCATCATAAGTGCATCCACCTTGTCCTCCGGGTATGCTGTCAGATGGCGTAGACCTTCGAACTCTCGTGACCACCGAAATGTGATATAATCTTCAAAGAACAAGTCGTTCGAACTAGGGATTAGCACATATCCCGTATCACCCTCATTAGTAGAATCAACAAGTATTTCAAGATCAGGTGTCTCTGGTTTCTCTAACCGCTCAAATGGAGTCATCAAGGTAAAAGTAGCCTGACTAGAGATTTCATACTCCTCATCTATGCCCTCAACATGAAAATCAGAAAGTTTAGACTCTGTGTCACTTTCTAAGAATGCATCCCAACTTCCTAACTCATTAACCCCACATATATCATCTAGGCAAACAGATCCTTGCCTAGAACAACTATGTTCGTCATCATTGAGTAGAGAGTCAAAGAAGGCGTCATCGGAGAATGTTTCCTCAATATCACATGTTTCATCAACTACTTGATTAGGCACTTGGGCTCGTGTAGGATCACCAACTTCGTCAAGGTTATCTTTCAAGGACTCTTTAGGTGAGAAATCATCCATAGATGGTAGGGTAGGACCGGTGTCACAAAGTATCTCCTCATCTATGGTCTGTTCATAAACTCCCGTGGGCACTTCTAGATTGAGTTCTTCAGGACTAATTTCTATGAGGACAGGATCTAGCTCAGTAGCAATGAGAGACTCAAAAGAAATAGGAGTGCAAAGAGTTTCAACCGTCTCGCTCATAGTTACCGCAGTCTCCTCCTCAGATTTAGCACCTTCCTCGTATATCTCCTCTTGAAATTTGTGTTTATTATCATAAATGATTTGTTCACATAATTTCTTGATACTCTCGTCACGAGATGCTAGTTCAATTCTTGCCCTTTTTAATTCTTCCCTAAACTCGAGCAAGGATGATTTTAATTTTTCGAGCTCGTGTTCAGGATAAGGTGAAATTCCAGAGTCAACCTCGTAGGAGTACTCGTTTGTGCCGGGGTAATGATTTTCCAGCCCTTCGTGGTAATTTTCATAATAATTAAAATTATCATGATTATTACCTTGATAGGAAAAATCATCATAGCATTCAAAGTTTTGCCCTTGGTGGAAATAGTTATCTTGAAATTGGTAATCTTCATATCCCAAAGGTGGATTTTCGCACCATTGATTGTTATCCTCATAACCTTGCTCATAATATCCTTCATTTTGATTATTTTGGAAAACTTGTTGTTCATTATATGGATAGTGATATGGTGGATGAGAAGGAAAGTGTTCGCTTGAGTAATCCATGAGAAAATCTCAAGCAAACACGTGAGAACAAAACAAAAAAAGAATTAGAAAGTCTCCCTAACTTGAATTCGCCCATGCTAAAATCAAAATCAAGAGATCACCGTGCCATTCCCCGGCAACGGCGCCATTTGATAACCGCTTTCGCGGCATTGTAGTAAAACGGAGTCTAACCTTTCGGTTTTTCCCCGAGTATCGTGTCTCTTGAGGAATGGCGGAGGA